AAGTCAGCTCCAAGCTCAGCTGTGTGAGAACAGCCCAGAAAGCTGGCCAGTTTTTGTACTCTGCTGCTGTTTTAGGGCCAGATCTCTCTCCCTGAATAGCATATTTTGAAGTGGCCATGTGAATTCTTATTAGGCATTCAAACACAGATATAAACCTATGCATTGTAAACAGAATTATGCTGCACAGAAACTGAGCAGAATACGGTAAGATCTTTTCTTTATCAGGTTACCCAGGCATGTTTTTTTTTCCAAAAAGTCCACCCACGCAGAGAGGCTGGGGAATGCCAAAGCTGCATGAATTTTAATTATGCTAGACATGCAACAAGGGGCTACCTTGTAAAGAATAAAGTTAATAAAACATGGATATGGGCTTAATTTTGCTTAATAAGCAGCCCTGGCAATGCACATTTTAGATGTAATTTTCACAGCGTGGAAATTGGGTACAATTCTTAAGAGGTATCTGCATGCAGACTTTCAAACTCAACAGTGCCTTCCTATTGGAAGAGATTTGTTGCTATGCTGCTATAAAATGGTGAATTAGGCCATTCATAATTACTGGCCAGAGATGGGTGTCTTTTTTTCTCCATTCAACTACAGAAACATGCATACACATTTTTAAGTGGTATTAAATGTAAATCTCTTCCTTAATTTTTATGTATGCATTTTCAGTAGCTCTGCAGATAAAACAGCAAAAAACCTGCATATGTTCCTATCTGTAGTTAGCTCTGTGTGTACAGAATTAGTAAAGCAGAGATATGCCTAATGACTGAATCTACAGAACACAGCCCATGGCTTTTGAAGACTCTATGAAAAATAAACAGGATATTCTGTTAGCAACCCTGCGGGAATTATTGCACTTCACTAAGGAAAGATGCCAATAACCTCAGTTTTGACCTAGATAGATCGTTCTGTTTAGGAAGGTAAGGGAATGCAATTCTAGATCTCTTCTCTGCTTAAGTCACCAAAGCCCTGAAATTCAGCCATTCATTTTAAATCTCAGCACTGAGGACAGAAAATTTTATTTATCAAGAGAACAAAACCTCAGAACTTACAGTGTCTTGAAATGTTTATATTGGTCACTTTCCATAGGGAGTGTCTAATGCAGAGGCTCCTGGATGCTTGGGGTGAGGATATTTAATGAGCGTAGTGAGTCTGATCTTCCAACAGCCCTGGGGAGTCTGAAACTCTGCCTGCTCCTGTGTACCAGATATGGGGTCTTTCTCCACAAACTGCAGGAGGAGCACTGGCATATCTCTCCACCATGATCAAAACACTGTCTGTGTGGCTCATTCTATGAACCAGTGCTATTCTTGCATTCCCTCTTCATAGGGTGCACTGTGCAGCTTTCCAGATTGAGACTGAGGTGAGGAGGGAGCCCAGGGAAGAAGAGGCATGGGAGAAAAATTGCCATAATAACTCTGCAATAAAGATATTAATTATATTATATATATTATATATTTATATATAAATATATTTTTTAAATCATGTTCCTTAAGGAAAAATGCCATATTGGCCCAGCTAGCTCAAAAAATTCAGCTTCCATTGGTGGCAATGAGGAATGCAGCCTGTGGGTTCAACAGGGGCTAGTTGCATAGGCTGCACTACCCTCAAAGAGAAGTAGCTGATATAGATGAAAATGGGAGGTGTTTTGAACCCTGTTTACCCAAAGGAAAGTTGAAGGAGAGAACTTCCACTGGCAGAGACCAAAGACAAGGAGGTTTTTCTGTTTCACTTGGTAGCCCATCAAAGGCAATGTTTCACCTGTGAGAATGACAGTGCCAGGGGCATGATGAGGTTGGCCTTCCATTCTCCAGCTCAAGACCGCTCTGGGTTTGCTTGGTGTTTATAAAAGCATGGGCTCTTCAGAAAATTTTGTGAAGTTGGGGAATGATCCAGAGTCGTGCAGAGCAGATGCCCATATCAGTACTGTCACCAGGAGCTCATGGCACAGTGCCCATGTTCAGAACCAAACCCCGTGGACTCCTTGGCCATCTATAGATAAAGACAGACCTGCATGTTGGCAAGTGCAACATTATATTCAGTTTCACAAGCTCTGGTTTAATTTAATTCCATCACTGCAGAAGCAGAGAGACCTGCAACAATCCTTTCTTCTTTCTTAGGAGTTGCAGCAACTTGCTTTTCTGATCCACAAATCACCAGGAAAAAAAATTACTATGACTGACTTTATCACTGATTAGGATCATTTTTAAGTGCAGAGCTGCTGCTCCTTGTTTATAGCTACACAACAAAACAAATTAGTCGCATGTCAAAATAGCTGGAACTTATCTAATATGATGCAGATAAACCAGCATTTTTTCACCAGAGATTTGAAGACTACAGGCAAAAAAAATATCTTTATATATACATTGAAAACTTTTTTCTTGGGAAGATATCAGATTTGCTCACATCCTTTGAAGATGAAGCTTTGGATAATTCACTGGCAGTTCAGACAGTGATTCTCTGATTGCAAACAGCTTTCTTTAGGCCATGCCTGTACCTTGTACTGCAATAATTCTTTGATGTCGAGTGAAATAATCCGATAGAGAAAATTAAAATATGAAGCATTTTAGTTACAGGAAAGGGAAGAAAAACCTTTATTGATTGGGATGGTGAAATCTGCTCGAAAAAAGTTGGCAGCAGTTAAAAAGAGATCAACAGCCAAACATTTGTATCTCCCAAATGGTTTTGAATATTTCCTTCTCCTGTCCTCCCCTTGAGAACCTTGATTCCATCTTGTTATGGTGTGCATAGAGACTAAGAGTGAAAATCAGGAAGTAATGCCAGAGTTAAGTTAATCTTTGTGGACATAGGGGGTGGTTGTTTCAGTTGCATTTTTTTCCCAATACATTAAAATAATTTAGAGCCGAAGTTCTTGCAGTGAAGTAGTTACAAAGATTTTGCTGAAGTTGATAATTCCTAGGGCATGTCACACTGCTTTAAAGTGCCCTCTTCACTTGGGAACATGGATCAGCCCTACACGTTCAGGATTGGATTAGGCTCGTCCTGCAGCTGCTACTTGCCAAAGTGTGGCTGGGGCAGATCTGGTCTTCCCAGACGAGATCCCCTGTCCCTCCACCCTCACCCCTGCACACTCCCCTAGGTATCTTGCTCGCCACCTAACTCACCTAACAGCTATCATTGCTAGCTGTTAACTAAACTGAAATCTGGAGAGCACCGTCCTTGTGGCAGCAACAGCAGTTACTTCTCTGGATAACCAGAGGTGTATCTATCTGCACCTTAAATTTTGTTTGGTACAGTTTTGTGGCTGGATATGGGCCGGAGCCGGGCCAGCACCAGCTGATGCACTAGTGGTCTGTCTTGGGACCGCTGTAGCCAGAGGCAGCCCGGCAGTGCCCACTGCCGCTGCAGCCGCCTGCGCGCTCCCCGGCCGAGGCACCGGCCCCCAGCAGCGCATCCTCGGGGTGCCGGGGCTGTCGCCCTGTCTCTGCTTGCACGGAAAAGCAGGGAAAGTCACGGAGATGCTGGGTGCTCAGGCACCGACAGCAGTGGCGAGGGAGGCGGCCAGGGTGGCTGCAGGACTGGCAGGCGGCTCCGTCGGCGGGGCCGGGGGGGACTGCGGCCCCGGGGAAGCCCGGCAGGGGCGGCGGGGCTGCCCGGGCGGAGAGGCAGAGCCGCCGCGGAGCTGCAATTGCCTCGATCTGCCTGCGCGATGTTTCTCATCCAAACCTCGATCACGTAGGATTGCGTAGAGAAGGGCGAGCGGGAGCAGCTGCAATTCTCCTGGAGCCCGGCTCCCGCCCGGCACCGACCCAGCCCGCCCCGCCCGGCCGCCGCGGGGCTGCGGAGCTCCCCGCCGCCTTGGCAGCAGCCGCGAGCGGCGTGGGCGTCCGGGGGGGCTTCCCCGGCCCCTCCTTCCTCTCTCCTCCCCCCTCCCGGGCCGGGCCGGGCCGGAGGATGCGGGCGGGCAGCGGGCGCGGTTCGGCTCCTCCTCGCCCCGCCGCCGTCGGGCGGCACCGCGGAGCATCCTGAGCCCCGCACGGAACAGCAGCAGTGGCAGCCGCACCCCCCCGCCCGTCTCCTCCTCCACCTCCTCCCCGCCTCGCATCGCTCCTCCCGCCGCTGTCCCCGCCGCGGTAGCCGGGCCCGGGGCCGCCCCGGTGCCGAGCGCTCGGCGGCCGCCCGGTCGGCCGGACGATGTGGGTTGCTGCCGTCGGGGAGAGCCGGTGCCGGGGCAGAGGCGGCGAGCAGGGCAGGGGAAGCTGCGCCAGCCATGGCGCTGTGAACCCGGGGCGCCGAGCTGCGGCGATGTGAGCCCGCACTCGCGGGCGGGTGCTTCTTTTTTTTTTTTTTTTTTAATTTATTTTTTTTTTGCCTTCCCTCTTTTTAATTTGTTTGCTGACCTGCTGCTTTTTTCCGCGGCTGCTTTTTCCTTCCCCTCCCGCCCTCTCTGAGAGCGGAGTGGGGAGGGGGGCAGAGGAGGAAGAGGAGGAGTGCGAACAGAAATGCAGCGCGGCTCTCCCTGAGCCCGGTCGCGGAGCCGCGTCCATGTGCGCGCCCTGCCGCGCAGCGCCTCGGAGCCACCGCGCTGGGGCCGGGGCTGCCCGCGGGCCGGGGGGGCTCTGACTCATCCCACGGCCCCTCGCCGGAGGGCGGCCGGCGGGAGGAAGCGCCGCCGCCTGCGCCCGGGCGGAGCGGAGCGGCACCGCGCCGCAGGGACCCGCGGATCCTCCGCGCCCCCCTATCCTTTGGACAAAGCGGTCGCCGGCGGACCTTCGTCAGCGGGGCGGCCGCTCCCGGATCTACGCGGCCGCTGCCAGCCCGGCCGGGGGGTCTCGCCGACGGCCGCCCGCGCCGGGATTTGCGCTTCTCGGGGACAGACCCATGGGCGGCGGGGTCCGGCGGCCAGCCATGGTTGTTTGCCCGGGCGCCCTGCTCCTCCTGGCCGGCTGAGCCCTCCCCGGCGCCGGGACTCGGGGTTGCAGCGCGTTAAGCGGGTCGTCCCCGTGCCCGGTCCCCGCGGGGCGCGGCGGCGGCTCGGCCCCTGCGCGCCCGGGCGGCGCCCCACGGAGCGGCGCGGAGCGGAGCGGGGGGCCCATGAGCGGCGATGGCAGCGGCTATCGCCAGCTCGTTGATCCGGCAGAAGCGGCAGGCGAGGGAGTCCAACAGCGACCGGGTGTCCGCCTCCAAGCGCCGCTCCAGCCCCAGCAAGGACGGGCGCTCCCTATGCGAGAGGCACGTCCTGGGGGTCTTCAGCAAAGTGCGCTTCTGCAGCGGCAGGAAAAGGCCGGTGAGGAGGAGACCGGGTGAGTACGGCGGGCCAGGGCCGTGGGAACCCGCTCCGCGGAGGGGGGCAGCCCCGCACCCGCCGGGATGGCTGCCCCGGGGCGCCTCCGGCACCGCCAGGGACCGGCTGGGGACAAGGCTTGCTCCGCGCTCAACTTTGGTCTGGGTCCTGGCGGATCTTCTCCTCCGGTCTGGCGGGATGGCTGGGCATCGACCTGCCACCAGCATCCCTCCTCCGCTCTCCAAAGCGTGAGCACAGCGGGTCCTCCGGCAGGAGGGACCCAGCGGCTTCATCTGTGCGAGCTTCACCCAGAATTGTATTTTTGCACCTCCTTGCAGATAAGTTTTTTAAACGATCTCTTATTTTCTGCATAGTGACAAGGAAATCGATAAACTGAGGATCAATTAAAATTGTGGCCGTTTGATAACTAAATCCATCAAGTGCTGCTTCATGAGCAGAGTTCCGTAGGGAATTTCATTAGCTCAGAAAGCTTTCTAGATGGCAGCTGCAGAACGGTTACACCTGATCTTGAGCTTGCAAGGATCTAGAAATGCTCTTTAGGGTAATCCTTTTTTCCCCTTTTCTTTCCTTTATTCTTTTTTGCATGTATGTGCTCAGTCTTGGTTCCTTGTGAAGAACTTCAGCCCTAGTGTACACACTGTTCACTTTTCCACGATGAAGTCCCACCACCCACAGTTTCAGTTCTGAGCAGTGCTTTGTGCTCTCAGCCGTCCTTGGTAGGTGTGAAAACTCAGTACCTGGCAAGAATAGGCCCTCCATGATTTCTCAGTGGAATTATTTACTTCTTGCTTTATTTTTTTCACTGCTATAGGTCACGACTAAGGAGAGAAAACAGAGATTGGTTTGAGAAGCTGCTGTGAACATGTAGTTTTCTCAGGTGTCCAATAGTATCGTGGTTAATAAACAGAGATTCTTGTTCACTCAGCTCTTCAGGATGTACTATCAACCAGTGTAGCCCTCCCATGTTTTCCATGTACATTAGTATTGTGCTTGTGCTTCAAAGGGAAAAAAGTTGCCCTTCTTTTTTTCCTACTCAAGTTATGATGAGCAGTGGCTTACTGGACTATCCTATGTATTAGTTAACCTGTGAACCAAGACCAAAAGATGGCCCTTGCCCAGAGAGTGTTGGCATTTTGTCTCAGGAATCACTCTTTGAAGGATAAAGAATAGGAACTGGTAGTCACACTGACAAAATAATTTTCTGTTCCTCTTTCCTCTCCATCTTACTCTGCCTTTAAATTAGATTCCTTAAGGACCTAAAGGGCTGGGAAGTCTAGACCTGTTACCTAGGTTTCGAGGTGCTTTGTCTCATTAAAGTTTGAGTGACTTACGGTAGGGTGTGATTGGGAGGCTTTTTATTGGTTCTACCCTGGTTTTCCCAGCTGGACAGGTCCAATTCTGCTTCCATGGACTCAGTAAATGCCTGTGATGAATTTTAAGAATTCCCTCAACTTTCATGGTCTTTCATGCTGAGGAAGGTTTTCGATAATTTACAGACTAAAGTGATTTAAGGGAGACTTTTTATTGACTTAGAAGAAGGATCAATGCCACTCAGTGCTGTAAAAATAGAGCTGTTCAGTCTTTAGAGCTGTCAGTCAATCACTTGTAACCAGTACTGTATTTATTTTATAAAATTAAAGAAGTAGAGGAATTAATTTGCTGTGAAAAAAATCCAAATGTCGTTTCCTAGCCTATGGACTGTGTCTGCTTTAGTTCCCGATATCCATCTTTTAAACAGAGATTTATTTCACTGGTACATCCTATTCCTGATCTTGGGTGTGCTTCTCAGAAGGCAGCTTGCCACTGGCATACTGCTGCTCAGATTGTTTATTCAGGGAGTGTATTGTGCCCAGATAACTTACACATTCCAGAATCGAGTTTCTGCACAGCAAATGACATGCAAATGAATTGAAAGTAGTTTCAAGAAATGTGCATACATTGTGCAGTGACCCACAACCCCAGTGATTATGTCTACTTAATGATATGCTGGCTCAGTAGTTTGCAAGTCAGTGAAAGGAATGAGAGAAACATCCATGTTCAAAAAGGGTACAATCACATTTGGAGATGGTACAATGCTAGGGGATCTCTCTTTACCTTTTTAAACATGACCTTGTTTTATGACTGTGAGGAGACTCTGTCAAAAAACTTCAGATTTAAAGAGTGGTTTTCATCTGTAGTACTCAACAAGCTCTAATAACTGGAGAGGATATTTCCCATTTTACAGATGGTGAGACCAAGCATGGAGCACTTACTTGACACAGAGACCTAATTCCTGATGCTTATCCCAGTGTACCATGCTTTGGGTCCCCACTGCCAGTGAGCCCACGATGCAGCAATGGTGGAGCTGTAGCAGCTTGCGCCATTACAGAAATACAACTCTGATGGTGGTTCACGTTCCCTTTGCTCTTTGCTTCTGTAAAGTAACTGTGTGAGCTTACATCAATTAAGTGTTTTTAATATGTGACTCAAACAGCGCTGTAACTAAAATATTCAGTAGAGACGTGGGTGAGCGGAGTTACTTTGCACTGGTTGGCACCTTGTGCTCCACGCTGCAGCCTGGGTGAAGGGAAAGTGACGTACTCCTGCTCTCATATGGGAAGGGAGAATTTGCACCCTGTAGCAGTTAAGTCTTGCTCAGTGGTGGGCATGAGTAGTCACAGGTTTTGGCAAGCTATGGGGAACCAGGTCCATGCAGGGATATCTCGTATAATCAAAGCTCCTAGGGAAAAGCTGACTGCAGAAACATCTCATTTGTTGGTTGCAGTAGGGACCATGTTGTAAACTGAGAACTAGTTCTGTCTGTCTTTTCAATGGGCAAAGACAGCTGTCTCAAATACATGCTTTGTGTTCTTTTATAGCTCTTGCATGTGTTTGGTTCCAAGATGACTTATCAGTTTAAGATAGGCCAAATAAGGACACTGAGTGCTGTGGACTAAACTGAACATTTGGGCACATGGGCTTAATCCCATTATTGTGAGTTAATACAGGTCATTGGCTGCAATTGTGCATCTATAAATTATATATTTTTCTCTGACCGTAGTGACTTAATGAAGGATTCAAAAGAAAGTACTGTATGGGATGACTTGTTGGTACAGGTTCAAGAGTTGGATTTTTCCTCAGAGACTGATAAGTCCAAGAGCTGAATTCAGAAGACTTGACAAGCAGTTCTCTCCACATCACTTCTCTGCCAACAAATAGTTGAACCAAATAGTTTCATCCCCTTTGTGGCTGAATTAAAGCATCCAGGCATGTCCCTTCTTCAGCTGTTTTGTAACAGTCTGCAAAGCCTGGGCTGGAGGGTCCAGCTTGTTTGTGAAAGCTGTTGCTGATGCTTCACTGACCATCTTCTCAGGCAGAGCTCACCCCGGAGAGCTGGGGTGGAGGTGGCCTTCCATTATGCCATGGCCACTGAATGGCAAAGCTGAAGAGTTTGGTAGCCTTGCACAAGGGGAAACAGGCTGGAATATCTGTGGGGGTTGTTGGAAATTTTATCTGAGTGAAGCCCACTGAAAGGGTGTTGTTACTTGGGGAAATCATATTTGAATTGAGGCAGCTTTGGGTCAGGCAGTGCCAGGCACTGTGTAGCATCGTCTCCATTCCTTCAGATGTTGCTTCTGTAGATGAGTTTCCAGCTGAGAATGCAGAGCTCAGTCTCAAACAGGTTTTTTTACCCCAGGAAAAAGAAAAAAAATGTGTTATTTTTATTCCTTTTTTTCCCCTTTGTCTGATATATATTTTGTGCTCCTCCAGGGAAAGGATGCTTTTCCTTAAGGAGAGCTAAAGGCTTCTTCCAAAGTGAAGGAAATGACTTGCACATAGCAAAAAAGCAATAACTAAAACCGTGTTTTCCCTTTGTGGTATTTCTCATTTTGAATAATAAATAGGGATTTGGAACTTAAAATATATGGACATAGATATTTTTGCAGCAGTATAAGTAAAATATAAAAACAACTTTAGTTGAAGGACATAGAAGGACTTTGTTCATTCGGAGATTCATTTAAAACATTTGAGAAGTCTGTCATCTCTGCAAGCTGTTAAATTCCCTAAGTTAAATCCTGAAGTCCTTTCTGTTTTCATTCAGGGTGAAAATGATGATTGAAGCTCAGGGCAAAGACCACCTTTTTAGCTTCCTGTTAAATTTGTTGTAGCCCTTCCCTGCTTTTGTGGAGTGGTGCATCTCAGAACAGCTGTAATATCTGCCCAACCTGTGGAATTTGGCCTCTCTGTTGCTAGTGTCTGAATTATCCAGCGCATAGATGCTCCCTGCAGTAGGATTCCAGCTGGTTCCCAGCACTTTTCTGCGGCATGTCCGTGCATGTCTGGGTGTATGCCCAGCCAAGGGTGGCCCATCACATTCTTCTGCCTGCTCCTCTGCAGAATTTGGTGCTGTGTCTCGTATCTCAGAAGTGGCTGAGGGGGATGGAAATGGCTGGAAATCATGGCATTGCCTGGCCAGCAAGAGGTCATAGAAGTGCCAGCTGAGATGAGGGCATGGATGCCAAGTCGCCAGCCAAACATGAGCCAAGATAACACCAAGGGGAAGGGCACAGCCTTGAGGGTGTGCATCCTCCTTGTTTGGGGCAGTCTGTTGTCACTGAGTTCTGATCTGCTGTTGGTGCTGAAAGCTCCTTCTGTACCCGCGGGAGCTAATGAATGCCAAAATAATCGGGAGGGAGGAATAGGCTCCCTCCTGCTTGTGACAGCTCAGCAGATGGGTTTCATTTTATCAAATTGATCCCTGGGGGTGGTATCGCACACGTTCGTGACTTGCAGATGTGGTGACTGTCATGGTGCGTGGCTGTGCTCGGTTACTGGGGGGGTTCAGGTAGCAACCCTGAGCTGTCCGTCTCTAAAATCTGGGAAAGAGCTGCTTTCTCCAGAGCAGGAAAAGTCAGCTGCCAGCCCGCTTCAAACACAGCTTATGGGTGAGCATGTCAGTCAGTAAGATGCTTCGTACTAGTACTGAGTATGGTTGATGCCAAGAAAATCCATGGAAGT